CCAGCGCTGGAGCCCTCAACACATTGAAGGACATAGGCCTGTTGGAGCAAGTCCAGAGAACCATGAAGAAGATCAGGAGGCTGGAGCACCTCCCTTGTGAGGAGTGGCTGAGGGCACTGGGGTTGTTCAGCCTGGAGAGAAGGAGGCTGAGGGACAACCTTACCGCTTTCTACAGCTGCCTGACAGGAGGTTGTAGGGAAGTGGGGATTGGTCTCTTCTCCCATGTAACAAATGATAGAATGAGAGGAAATGACCTCAAGTTGTGCCAGGGAGGGTTTAAATTGGACCTTAGGAAAAATTTCTTCATGGAAAAGATTGTTAAGAACTGGCACAGTCAGCCCAGGGCAGTGGTGGAGTCACCTTCCATGTGGTGTAGATGTGGTGTTTAGTGGTGGACCTGGCATTGCTAGGTTAACGGTTGGACTGAATTAGCTTAAAGGTCTTTTCCAACCTAAATGATTCTGTGATTCCGTGGTCTGGGTTGGGAGTATATTATTAAACACAGGCTAAGCAGAGGAGTATTTATTTATTATTTATTTATATAGCTCAGATTCAGTTAAGCAGGGGTTGACGGTGCTGTTTTGCCATCTATTCACCACCAAGAAACCAAACCATATACCAGAGATAGTGCTAACTCCAAAGATGCTCTTCCTGACACAATGTTCTGAGTATGTACCTTATATATATATATATACATGTGGAAACATCCCACATAGGAGATGCATCCTCTTCTCCACAGTCCCAGGCTGGAAGCTTTGGAGCATGGTGGAGAGCTTCCCGTTAAAAAAACATCTGCGGGTTTTGGCCCTTTACACCATGTTGTCATGTTCCTCCAGGGTCTCTGAGGCTGCAGAAGCTGTCACAGGATCAGATCCTACATTTTGAATAGCATATGTGGCTGTAAGTCACAGAACACAAGGTTACCTCCTGCTGAAATACTCAGGGGCTTGTAGTTGACTCTTAAGACTGAGAAAAAGAAAAAAGCACCTGAACATAAAGATACACAGGTCCATCAGCATGCACAGATCAGCTCCCTAAGTGTTTAAACTGCATAGAAACAGTCATGACACCTGCAGCTTACTGCTGGAAACTGCCCAGTTTGAGATCTTCAAAAACACAACCATCCACTTCCCCAAACTCATCATCCACTTCCCCGAACTCATCATTAGGTCCCTCTTCTAAGTTACAGTTTCGGGCCTCCCACGTACAATGTATCCCGGAGCATTTCCTGTCACGCAGCAAGTGAGTTGACAAACACTGGAACATGCACAGCTGTGCAGAACTACAGCTGGGGAGAGTTTTCCTGACTTTCCTTCTTTCTTTCTGTCTTCTGCCTGCAGCTTTTCCTTACCCAACACCTGGCAGATTGCAGAGCACAAGGAAGGCAGGATTGCCAGGGCATAGGAGACAGGTGAGGCAAGAAACAGCAACCAAATCAGAGCGCCTTGACCACCAGACCAATATTGCATGCTGGAACTGTGGAAAGGGTAATGCGGAGAAGCCATGATCTGTTCAGAAATACTCTTTGTGGAAACCTGTGTCTCCACTGACTGTTAACAAAGGCAAAATCTTGAGTAGGTGAGATTTTTTTCTGGCACACTGCTCCTCATAGGGTTAAGCGAATGGTGCACTGTTCTGGGCAGCCTCTGCCCCTCAGAAAACTACCTTGTCAACACCACTCATAAAAATGTGTAAGGAAGAAGGAGCAGCAGTGAGGACATGTTATGGACTGACCCTAATCCCATTCCCCATCCACCTGTGCTGCTGTGGTGGGGTGGGTGTAGAGGACATAGCAATGAAGATGTGAAGTTAAACTTGGGAAGAAGGGAGCTTGGGTGGAAAAGTGGCATAGGTTTTGTGTCTCACCATCTAATTCTATTTTGAGTTTGTAATAAACTGAATTCATTATCCCCAAGCTAAGTCTGGTTTGCCTCTGATAGTAATTGGTCGATGATCTCCCTGTCCTTATCTCAACCTATGAACTTCCCTGTCTTATTTTTCTCCCCCATCCTATTGAAGAGGTATGGCTGGGTGGGCCACTGACAGTTTGCCAAGGCTAACTCAACACAATGAAATATACAATACATAGATATATAGAATTATAAATAGAAATTAATGCATAAATGTTTATAAATATTTATCTTATTTCTTTATACATAGGTTCACTATAGTGTACTACTAGGTGATACAGGTATGATATAGGTGCTACACTATATAATAGATAATACACTGCGAGGAGTACTCCCATTTCAGTTAATCTGCAAATGCAACTAAATTGAATTTATTAAAAAATGGAAGCTTCCACAAATTTACAAGTTCTGGTGTTGGCTGAGAAGTGCAATTACTACGCTACACCCG